GGCTTTCCAATGCTCGCGACTAGGATTATTTGTATACGTACTCAAATTGCTTATAACATAAGCTATGTCGGGTCTAGTACAGCTCATCAGGTACATTAAGCTTTCAATTATCCGAGCGTATTCGATTTGGGATACACCTTCTCCACGATTCTTGGATAAATGGATACTTGTGTCCAGCGGAGTTCTCGCTATTCCTGTATCATCATTACTGAATTTTTCGAGAATTTTGTCTACTTAATGAGTTTGACTCAAAATTAGACCATTTGAGGTTCTGTTGATCTTAATTCCTAAGATCACATCAGCGAGACCCATGTCCTTCATGTCAAATCTAGAATTTAGCATGCCTTTGGTAGACTTAACGATATATTCGTTGCTACCAACGATATGTATATCGTCTACGTAAAGGCATATTATCACGTAACCTGACTCAGTGGTCTTTACGTATATACATTTATCACATTCATTGATTCTGAAACCACTATCCATCATAGTATGATCAAATTTCTCATGACATTTCTTTGGAGCTTGTTTAAGTCCATATAGTGATTTCACAAGTCTATAGAAGTTATTTTCCTTTTCTGAAACTGAGAGGCCTTCCGGCTGTTCTATGTAGATCTCTTCGTCAAGATCTCCATTTAAGAAGGCTGTTTTTACATCCATTTGATGCACCTCAAGATTTCGCAGAGCAGCTATCGCAAGGATCATCCTAATGGATGTTATTCTCGTGACAGGAGAATATGTGTCAAAGTAATCTAGGCCTTCTCGTTGCCTGTAGCATTTTATTACAAGTCTAGCCTTGTATTTGTCTATTGTACCGTCTGGTTTTAATTTTCTCTTGAATATTCACTTTGATCCAAGAGGTTTCGAACCAGGTGGGAGATCCACAAGTTCCCAAGTGTGATTATGAAGAATATAATCAATTTCACTTTTTACAGCTTCTTTCCAGAGAGGCGCTTCAGCAGACCTCATAGCCTCAGCATATGCTTGAGGCTCGTTTTCAAGGAGATAGGTGAAATATTCATTTCCAAACGACTTTTCGATTTGTGCTCGTTTACTTCTTCTGAGCTCAGGTTCCTGACTTAGTTCAGATCCAGATTCAAATATTTCCATTCGATCTTGGTCTTAGTCCACAGTTTTGTGTTCTCGGTTGACCGAACTAGGCTCAACTCCTGCCTTTGCAGGGAACACATTTTCAAAGAATGATACATTCTTTGATTCCATTATTGTATTCTTTGGGATATCCGAAATTTTTGAATCAAATACCAAGAATCGATAGGCAGTATTGTTATGTGCATATCCTATAAAAATGCAGTCCACTATCTTGGGACCGATTCTCACACATTTGGGAGGTGGCACCACTACCTTAGCTAGACACCCCCACACTCGAAGGTGTTTGTAAGATGATTTTTGACATTTCCAATGCTCATAAGGGGTCTTCTCCATCTTTTTCTGAGGTATTAAGTGAAGCAGATAATTACTGCTTAAAATTGCCTCCCTTCACATATTTTGGGGTAGTCCACAACAACATCGCATTCATCATTTCTTTTAATGTGCGATTTTTGCGTTCAGCAACGCCGTTTGATTGAGGTGAGTAAGGTGAAGTTACTTCGTGAATTATTCCATTTTGTGCAAAAAAATCACCGATCGGAGTTTCATATTCTCCACCTCTGTCACTTCGAATTCGTTTAATTCGTTTGTTAAGTTGGTTTTCCACTTCATTTTTGTACAAAATGAATATACTTAATGCCTCGTCTTTGCTCTTAAGCAAGTAAACATAACAGTATTTTGTACAATCGTCAATAAATGTGATAAAGTATTTATTACCACCACGCGTTTGTACAAATTTCAGATCGCATACATCACTGTGAATCAATTTGAGTGGTTCATTTTCACGATAAATAGTTTGGAAAGACGATCGAGTTTGTTTTGCTTCAATAAAAATTTCACATTTGTGTTTATTTAACTCGAATTTCGGAATGTGGTTCAGGTTAATTAATCGACGAATTGAATCATAATAAACATAACCCAATCGACTGTGCCATAAAGTAGAGGACTCAACAATATAAGCAACAAACTTATTATTATTATTTTCAATAACTGTCATAATACAACATTTCAAAAGTTCATCCTCTACATATCCTTTACCCACATACATTCCTGGTTTACGCAAAAAATTTTTTATCACAATTCATATTAATATTAAAGTCGTGTTTCATCAGAAGCGTCCCCGAGACCAAGTTCTTCGTCATCGCTAGTACGTAGAGGACATTCGTCAGCGTCACGACTCTTCCAGATGTCATCTTCAGAAGCACATTTCCTCTTCCCTTGACTTTTGCAGGAGCAACATTCCCCATGAACATCGTTTCTCCTTCGACACGCTCAAATGAGGGGAACTGATTCCTTTCCATGCAGATATGGCTAGTTGCTCCCGTGTCTAGCCACCATTGTTTCTTGTTTGATCCCACCACATTTGCCTCAGAGACAACACATTTCAGGTCGAGTGGCTCTTTATCTTTAGTAACGACGTGTACCTGCTTCGTCTCTTTCTTAATTTTCGGCGCCTTGCAATCTATCAAACGGTGTCCAACCTTTCTACAATTAAAACAAGTGCCTTTGAAAGTACTCTTTGCCTTTTCAACGCCGCCAGATGGCTTCAACTTCTCTTTTCCCTTGTCCATTAGCTTCCAGTTCTTTACTGGCTACTCATAGTTCCTCGAAGCTGTCTTGAAACAAGAGCCTTGGCCTTTGTGCTCGATTACATTGGCCTTCCTGCCGAGTATTAGATGTCCCCTATTTTCCAGGTTTGATCTATGCTCCTCTTTAGTTTGGAGACGATTAATCAGTCTCGCCATATCCATTTCCTTTCGTTTGTGTTTCAAGTAAATTTTGAAATCACCCCAGCTAGGTGGTAATTTTTCAATTATCGTCGCAACTTGGAAAGCTTCACTCAGCTCCATCCCCTTGGCCTGGATCTCATGCAAAATCAGCTGAAACGCATCAAGCTGTTTCGTAACGCTTTTCCCATCGACCATTTTGAAATCCAGAAACCGACCGATGATAAATTTCTTTGCACCAGCATCCTCAGTTATGTACTTTTTCTCAGGCGTCTCCCACAGTTGCTTAGCCGTTAATGCATGCCGGTAGACACCGTACAAGGAGTCGTTCAGACCATTCAGTACATAATTTTTGCACATAAAGTCTGAATGGTTCCAGACTTTCAGAATTTGTACTTTTTGTTCTTCCGAGGATCCTTCAGGCACAACAGGTGCATCCTCCGTCAGCCAATCTTCCAGACTCAGCGTGGCCAGATAAAACAACATCTTTTGTTGCCATGTTTTAAAATTCTGCCCGTTGAATTTTTCTGGCTTATCGGCTGCCGAAGCAACAGGCTGCCTCAAAGTTGCAGCAACAGGCTGCATTGCATGGTCCGTAACAGCAACAGGCTGTATACCCACCAAATCATCTAGTTGTTGTCCGGCAGACACACCGAGACTCTGCGCAAGTCCTACAGCCATACGCTGCAGATGAGGCATAACAGCAGCAGGCTGTTTCAGTCAGGCATCAATAAGATGCCGTTTCTTCAGTCTAGCAACAGGCTGGTTGGAGGTTGCAGCAGCAGGCTGCGCCCCCTCCATCGCGGCCTTGAAGGCCTGATCGTATGCTGCCTTCGCAGCCTTTTCTGCAGCAGCCCTCCTGGCCACTTTGCGCGTTTCACGCCTGGCAGCAGCGATTTCAGCGGCTTCACCGGTTGTGCGGGGTGGTTGAGATAACGGAACAACAAGAGCGTGAGTGTGAGACTCGCTGGAATTCACCTTCTCATTCTTGTCTCCGTTAGCACCATTCTGAACGTCATCATTCAGATCCTTCAGATTTCTGTCAGGATCGTTCATTGCATTGACTATCGCTTCATCTTCAGGTACGATCTGGGCAGCCGCGATTTGATTATGGATATGGGGAATTTCGTCAGCCATCTCATATTCCACCAACGGAAATTCGCTTCAAGCTTGTTGGATATTTAATAACAAATATGAGATGTGGCGACAAAACCAAATCACTAAATCTGATAATAGTTTCGAATATCATATTCAGATAAATCCGAGCCTCGTGTGGGACGCGATTTCCTTGAAGCGAATTTCGGCCCTCCACCGATCGCCTCCCAGGATAGAACGAATAATTTACTGAATAACAGATTTCACGAACCGAATTAAGAAACTTTTGGAATGGGAGATTTTGCAGAAAATTTGAGAGCGTTTCTTTTTGAAGAGAAGATTGTTTTTTTTGGTGGTTTTAAAAACGAAGGAGATGAGATATATATATTATACATATTTTTCATGGTTTTGAGGATTATTTTATTTAAATTTTTGTAAGAGGGAAGAAGTCCACATTGCACCCACTTCTCCACGTTGCAAGTCAGTTGCAACCGTAATGTTTATCTGATTATTTGAATTTTTCAAATTCAAAATAAATTAATCAAATAAATACAAAAATTAAAATAATTGGATTTTAAGCAATTTGGACTTGGCCCACGAGTCCCCACGGCCCCAAGGCCTAAGGCCCAAATCTTGACATTTACTAGTCAAATCTAAGCCAAGCCCAATCTAGACTAAGCCCAAACCAAGCCATGCCCAATCCAAGCCCAATTTCTTATTTATTCTTGTATTGTGGTGCAAGACAATATATGGAAGGATGATATTTTATGAGTTCCCCGTGGGACAATTCACCCTTCTCGCACTTCTTCCTCTTTCACCTACACTAATAGTATTTACAAACAATTTCACAAATTTTGTGGATCTTCTCTTCTTTGTTTACCTTGCTATTAACGATTGAAGGATTATTACTACTCCTTGGATGATGATAATGTTACTTATAACATATTAATTTTGATATTCTCTAAAGTCAAGTACAATATAAAAGGCAAAAACTATCATATAATAAAGAAAAGGGATAAAACAAGTGTGTACAAGTAGAATTAAAGATCACACTTTTAATGTATTATTTGAAGGTTGAAACACAAATGTTCCACGCATAAGCACACAAGTTAAGATTAGAGCGAAAAATAAAAAATAAAAATAAAAATAAAAAACACAATCATGATATGATAAACACAATCGTGGACCTTATACACAATCTACATCACCTATATGCATTAAGAAATACACGAAGATGGTAACTTTGCTTGCTTCAATTGAGCTTATTATAATATTCTCGTGTATAATACTTGTTTTCCGTGCATCAATCATATCATTTAGTATATCTTCATGTTTTAATAAGATTTTCTTATGCCATTTCTTTTTGATCATGGAGAGATATATCTATAAGGATAGTGCTAATTGAGTGGAGGGTTGTCATTGTAAGGAAAATAATATTATCCAAGATAGTACGCTATAGGAGGAGGAGAGTTATAATAATAAGTATTTGGTGAAGAGTATTCTTTTGACGTATACTTATAGCTATTAGTTGGAGAGTCGGGGGACTTATAATCTTTCGGCGGAGAGTACTCTTTGGGTGGAGACTTGTGATAAGGCGGAGAATACTCTTTTGGTGGAGACTTGTGCTCACACGGTGGAGAGTATTCTTTCGGCGGAGATTTATGTGGTGGAGAGTACTCTTTCGGCGGAGACGTATGATAAGGTGGAGAGTATTCTTTTGGTGGAGATTTGTGCTCATAGGGTGGAGAGTACTCTTTCGGAGGAGATTTATATGGTGGAGAGTGTTCTTTTGGTGGAGACTTATATGGTGGAGAATACTCTTTTGGTGGAGAGTACTCTTTCGGTGGAGACTTGTACGGTGGAGAGTATTCTTTCGGAGGAGAGTACTCTTTTGGTGGAGATTTATACGGTGGAGAATACTCTTTTGGTGGAGAGTAGTGTTTCGGTGGAGACTTATATGGTGGAGAGTATTCTTTCGGCGGAGACTTATACGGTGGGGAATACTCTTTTGGTGGAGAATAGTGTTTCGGTGGAGACTTATATGGTGGAGAGTATTCTTTCGGCGGAGACTTATACGGTGGGGAATACTCTTTTGGTGGAGAGTATTCTTTCGGTGGAGACTTATATGGCGGAGAGTATTCTTTCGGTGGAGATTTATACGGTGGGGAATACTCTTTTGGTGGAGAGTAGTGTTTCGGTGGAGACTTATATGGTGGAGAGTATTCTTTCGGCGGAGACTTATACGGTGGGGAATACTCTTTTGGTGGAGAGTATTGTTTCGGTGGAGACTTATATGGTGGAGAGTATTCTTTCGGCGGAGACTTATACGGTGGGGAATACTCTTTCGGTGGAGACTTATATGGCGGAGAGTATTCTTTCGGTGGAGATTTATACGGTGGGGAATATTCTTTTGGTGGAGAGTAGTGTTTCGGTGGAGAATATTCTTTCGGCGGAGACTTATATGGTGGGGAATACTCTTTTGGTGGAGAGTAGTGTTTCGGTGGAGAATACTCTTTTGGTGGAGACTTATACGGTGGAGAATACTCTTTTGGTGGAGAGTAGTATTTCGGTGGAGAGTATTCTTTCGGTGGAGATTTATACGGTGGGGAATACTCTTTTGGTGGAGACTTATACGGTGGAGAATATTCTTTTGGTGGAGAGTAGTGTTTCGGTGGAGAATACTCTTTTGGTGGAGATCTATGCTCACAAGGTGGAGACTTATACGGTGGAGAGTACTCTTTCGGTGGAGAATACTCTTTTGGTGGAGATTTATACGGTGGAGAGTACTCTTTCGGTGGAGAGCCTTTGGGTGGCGATTCATGCCCACAAGGCGGAGAGTATTCTTTCGGTGGAGATTTATACGGTTGATAATAATCTTTTGGTGGAGACGTATAACCATAAGAATAATTTTCATCATTGGCATCGACTTTAAGAGGAATGTTAAGTGAAAAACTTGCCACAACCAAAGTAGCCATAAGAGAATAAGCTAGAGAAGCCATGGAGTGTTTTTCCCCCGTCTTAGACAACTCCCACCCCTTTTATAGCTTCGGTTTCTATCTTATCACTAATAGTTCTTTTTTAAAAATATATATATTCACAATTTTATTTAACTAAAATAATTATATATATGTATATAATTGGTTGTCAATAACAAGTAGTGTACGTTTGATCAATATAATAGTAATAGGCATATTTGGCTTTATTAATTTTGTGGTCACATAATTGATGAAAAAAGTCACCCAATTGGTAATTGTCCTTTTCTTTACTTTTGTGCATAAATGCTATTATGAATATAATTTCAAAGTATAAAAGTTTTAACATTAATACAAGAATTTGAGGTTTTTTGGTATGGCATCTTATCGAATGCTTGGTGTATTTTACATTCATATTTTGCATAGATAGGGTGTTGAAATCGTTGAGATTAGTCGAAAAAGGTAATATCTTTTGTATATATATATTTTAATTATAATCAACTTAATTAGGCAAGAAGAAATTACAATAACTTCACATAAATTTTCATTTATGATTGAACAACCCGCGATTGGAGGGAATTTATCGAATGCTTAGTGTATTCTACATTCATATTTTGCGTAGATAGGGTGTTGAAATCGTTGAGATTAGTCGAAAAATAATATATTTTGAATAGATGTTAATTATACTCATTTGTAAAATAGATTAGAAAATCAAATAAATACATGACAACGAAGACTGGGGTGATTAAATATAATGTTCGATAATTTTATTTAAAAAAAAAAAAAATACAATTGAAGGGTTTATGGAATATTATTGAAAAAATTTCAAATCTAATCATATATCTAAAATTAATATTTTCTTGTCATTTATACTTCATCAACTTTGTTTTGGTTTTAAATCTTGCCAAAAATTATTTGTACTATCCTCTGAAGGACACCAAAAAAAAAAAAAATCAGAAATTTTTGTAAGTTAGAAAAACATAACACAACCCCTATTTTATGAAGATCCAATCACTAGAATATAGTCTTAGGAGTATTTCTTTATTTATTTAAAAAAAGGCTATAAATTATATTGATCTATTGTATTGAATTATTTCTTTGAATAATATTAGTTGTGTTTGTTTGTTTGTTATTTATTTTCTACTATTCAAATAATATATTTATTTTTTTCGAAACATCAAAATCAAATATTTATTAATCTATTATGTTTTATATTATACTTAAAATTAATTTCATCATCAACTTATATTTATATCAGATGGATCAAACTATTTAAATTCAAAATTTTACTATTTAAAACATATACTCAAAAATCAAACATGCAAACAAACACATCCGAACTTAATACTTGTGTTCTAGCTGAATTTAATGGTGTTTGAATTTTAATCTTTAAGAATGAAATAATTGTTAGATGCGATGAAAAATGGGTATTTAAAAAATAAAATAAAATGAGTATTATATGATGCGGTATTATAATGGCATGAAACTTTGTGTTATATACTATGCACAAACCACTTCTTTCATCCAAATTAATTTGATTATCTGATTGTAAATGGGCACACCTAATTATGCAAATTTTATATAAATAAAAGAGATCATGTATCTTAAATAACTTTATTTTAATAATAAAATGATAATAATTAATCAAATATTCATTTTATAGTGTGTTTTTTTTTTTAAAAAAATAGATAACAGTTTGTCTTAAAATAAATATTAAATAGATGATTGATAAATTATATATTTATTTATTTTATTCAAAAAATAATATTTAAAATATTTTATTTGTTTTACTTGTATAAAACTTACATAATCATATGCGTGTTTTTGGATGAAGGAGATGTTTTGTGTGTACTTTAATTTAAAAAAAAAAAGAAAAAATCACACAATAAAAATAAAATATGGAATATTTATATACTTTTGCTAAAACATAATGGATATTATATTAATTTACCAAAAAAAAAAAAATCAAAGTAAATACACCCACAATTTTTACAAATATGCTTGTTTAATCCAATGTTCTTACAGAAAATGTTTACTTTCCATAGAAGATGGAATTTAAAGATAAGCATTATATTATTTCAATTCATTTTCATAGGAATTAAACGCTCTTAAATTTTTATTACATTACATGTATTTTATATGCATTTCAGCGGAGATTTATTTAACATAAATCAACATATTTTACAAATAATTTAAAGATTTTTTTTTTTTTTTTGTAATTTTAGGCTATTGTTTACACTATTGATCTTAAAACTATAATTCCTTCATCAATTATATTTATAGATAATTTACTGCTTGTATATATTAGTTATTTAATCATCATAGAATTTTATATTTAGCAGGTATAATATAAACGTACAAAAAATAATGTCCTTTGGACTTGCATGAAAAAAAAAAAAAAAAAAATGTATATTCAAATAGTTTTATATGAAATTGTGGAATATTATTTCCTAAGACAATATATTAATACACAATCCGCTCACCAAAGATTTATAGGGTGTGTTTGTTTTGGAGTTTGGATTTTGAGTTGGGATTTGAATTGTAAAAATTTTGAATTTGAATAGTTGTATGATGTGATATAAATAGGTGTTGATGTGATATTCTAAATATGAAATTGATTTTTAGTATAATATAAAAAAAAATAAAAAATAGATATTTGATTTGATGTTTTTGGAGGAAAAAATGGAATGAATAGTGGATTTTTAAAATCCAATCCCCCGTAATAGAAAATTCATTAGACAATGAACTATTAAGATTGTTTGGTTGTTATTTAAAATTAAGGTAAAATTTCTGATAACTCCCATGTGGTTTCGAAATTCAGCGTAAAATCTTTTTATACTTAAAAAATTGTATGGCATCCTCTTATACTTTCGAAAACGTTGTATGAAATCCAACTACCATGAAAAAAAATTTTATGATGAGAAGATGATTTTCTATCTGTATGTTTTGCATGGTGAGGGTTTCATGCAATATTTTTGAAAGTGTAAGGGGATGCCATGAAATTTTTTAAAGTAAAATGGGGATCTATGATGAGTTTTAAAACCACACTGGGGTTTCATACAATATTTTTTAAAATATAAAGGGATGTCATACAATTTTTAAAATAAAAGGAAATTTACGCTGAGTTTTGAAACTACGAGAAAGTTATGGACAATTTTGCCTAAAATTAATTTAAAATATTGATTTAATTTCATCAGCATATATAGTAAAATTAGACAATACATGTTTATACATAGCACATAATATGTTAGTGTTATAAATATGTTATATTGTATATGATATATGTTGTCTACTTTTATTATATATGTTGATTTGATCAAATCGAGTATTTCTCTTCAAAGGTTGTTGGCATCAATTTCATATTGATTTGACCGGGAATCCGACCCCCACATTGAGATATAATAGAATTTTGGTGCGCTTTAATTATGGTAATAAGTGGGAATTTATCAGCACCATGTTGATTGCATATAAAAATACTAGAGACAACAACACATATATATTAGTATGTATTGTTGTCAAATCTATTTTATATATAATGTAAATTTATATATAAATACAAGCATAAAATATTATATAACTAAAAAACATACTAGATTGCTTCATTAAAAACAAAAATTACAATTCTTCTTGGTAATACTTATGTGATAAACATGCTGACAGATTTTCTATCAAATATAATCTGACTTCGAAAAAAAGAACACACTATCAACAGAAATTAGATTTAGTGGAGCAAATGCATATGAAAAACTTTTAATTTTTTGAAAAATTGAATTGCATATTTAAATTTGATTGTTTAGTTATGTAAATTTTATTGAATGCTAATATTATGGTTATACATAAATATATTTTTCTTCATAATTAACTTCACATGTATATATAAATTAATTTAAAATAAATTACCACTAAATTCATACATAAATAAGTATATATAGCACACATATAAATTCAATACTATAAAATAATATGAATGTAATATTTAAATTTTATTTATTAAATTATGTCAATTTAAGGGTGTGTTTATTTTGTAGGATAATTTGAATGAATTTTTTTTTATGAGAGGTATGAAGAATTGTATATGAATTATAAAAATAATGAATGTGAGTGATATATTAATATTTTTTGGAAAATATATGTGTTTTTTTTTTTTTGATTAAAAGAAAAGAAAACACCCTAAGTATTAAATAATTATCACTAAAATGATTTTATTAAATACAAATTATTATAATGTATACATAATATATTATTTAAAAAAATATTATATGAAATTGATATTAAATAAAATAATAAATTTATTGATGTAAAAAAAAATGGAGAACACGAAACTCAGTTCTACAATGTGAGTAAAAAAATTAAGTGGATTCTGTGGGATGACAGTGGCAGAAAAAAAAAATAAAAGAAAAAACTTTGAAGAGTGCGAAATTGAGTTTTGTATTGTGTATAATCTTAGATTTTAGTTATCATTTTGTTCATAAATATAAGGATTTATACATTATTTTAACTAACATAATGACGAATTATATAATATTTACGTAAAATTAGACATGTATTGACATTAAAACACATTTATTATGGATATAATTGGAATAAATTTTAGTTTGTAAGTGGCTTAAGCTATTATTTTGGTTCTTTTTAAAAAAAATTGTATAAATTTTATTAGTCTTTTGTCACTCGAAGGTCACATGCACTTTTGGAGTGACATGAATTAGGCCTCAAATAATTTTTTAAACTTAATATTGACCGTGGTTTATTAAAATATAAATTTATATATTTCTTTAAAAACTAGATTAACTTCGAATAATTTTTTAAACTTAATATTGACATGGGTTTATTAAAATATTAATTTATATAAAAAAATTTTTACAAGTCCAATTTTACATCATTAGGTCATTCCTTACGGACACAACATCTTTTAATACTAATGTCAGTTCTATATATATATATATATCATGTCAAGATAAATGACAATATTTTGATACTAAAAGAATTTTTTAAACGACTACCGAATAGATATAGGATTAT